GGGGTGGGGAGGGGGATGCGTTCGTGTTGTGAGGAAGTGGTGGAAACAAACGAAACTATGTTGGTGTGAAGGTTTCTTCATGACCAGAGAAGGCCCCTTCTGGGGCTTCATCGCGGTGGCACATTCGACATCGGGGCCTTCCTACCCACCTCCACCAGCAGGCCTGGCCCGTCTTCACCCATAACGTTGTTAGGTCCTTGCCACAGCCCACTGACTCCCGCTGGCATCACTGCAGCATCACCGACTCGGGACACAGTGACAGCACTTGCGGGGGTCACCTTCAGATCCAAGCGAGCTCGTTCATTACCCTGGAGGGTGGTCGGGTGTTTTTTGAGCCAGATGCCAACAGATACTGGAGTAGCAGGCTAATAGGGTGTGTTGGGAACAGAGTTTGATGTGTTAAGTGAAGGATATTGGCTGGTACGGCTCTAACCTTAAATTCCTGGGGCGCAAATTCGCCCCTTACTAATACATGTGTAATTCTCATAACACCCCTGAGAGCTGTGAACTTCGATATCAGCAGCACAGTCTCATTCTCAGAACTGCTGTGAAGTCTTCTTATTTGCAAATTACTTAGGTAACCATGCCTGCAAGCCTAACTTTAAAAAGCGGGAAAACTGTTCTTCAGCAAAATAAAAACGGGCTGCATCCCCAGCTGGCAACTGCCTGTGCCACGGCTGGGCCAGGTACGGTAGAGCTGAGCTCTGGTCTTGTCTTTCTGGTCAGCATTACTTTGATTTTCTCTGTTTCCTTCTCAGATTTCCATTTTAGATGCACATTGTATCTTGTATGATCATGTGTCAAGCATCAGTTTACTTTGAAAAGGAGGATGAGTACATCTCAATGGAAATTTTCTGTCTTTGGAAGACATCTTTATAAAATGAACTGTAATAGGTGTGTTTGTAATCAGTAACGAGGGAGTAAGCTGGAAGGCATACCTGTAGGTGGGGAACAACTTTTATCTATCCTGAACATTTAGATTTTTGTAAGTGGTATAGAATATTTACGTACTCCTCACAATGCCCTGATATATTTGAAGTTGTGGGGAGAAAAATCTGCCCTCTTGTTACGATCTGAGCAGCCGTGTGTTCTGTTCCCAGTGTGAAATGATTGCCATGATTACCAGAGGGATTCTTCTCATTAGTTGTTTCTCAGGACAGGTTGAAGCATTATCAAGGAGGAGACACATAGACTCTTTTCCAATGAAACAATCAGTTTTATGTACCATAATTTAACTGAAGAAGTGCTGTTGGGTTGTTTTATATATGCACATATAGATATATATATGTATTTAAAAATATGGAAGAAACTTCTGCTTTTGACTAAACATTTACTGACACAGTATGTCCAGCTTTTCTCCAACCATTTTGCAGGCTAAGAGACCTTGCAGAATTTCAGCTTTCTACACCTCAGTGAACAGCTGCTGAATAAAAAAGCTTTGTGATCCACTTGAATGAAACATGTCTACCCCACCACAATCAGCTTTATTTATTTTTCCTCTTTTCCCCTGTCTCATTCACTACCTCTTTTCCTTCTCACAGTGCTGCCATACTCAGCAATAGAACGGCTCCCTACAGAGAGTATTTTGATGAGCTAAAATGAAAAACTGCTCTCCCACACTGTCAGGGAGCTGTACCTATGGTGCTCTCTGAGCTGTACCCATTAAGAAAGCTTCATTCACACTTTCATTTAAGAAAAAAGTTTGGTTGACACTTTGCTTTGGAAAAATTTCCAGTCTGCAAATGTTACATGCGAAATGTGATACAAAAGGAGAGATCCTCTGCTGGTGCAATTCTGTTATTCAATGCAGCTTTGCCAAATAAACGCCTTTTGAGAAACTGGCCAGTTATTTCTATTCCTATGCAACTATGATTCTTTCACTTCCCCTAAAACTATATATTTTCTTCAAAATTCCTTAGATTAAGTTTCCCATATGTTCTGCAAATTTCTATGCTATGTCCAAGTATCTATTTTCCTCTGTGACTTGAATACTGGTCATTTAATACTTACATATTCTACATAGTCCAGCAGTGGGGAAAAGGCAAAACAGGAGAGTATCAGAACTGTTTTATAGTTCCAGTGCCTGCGTATTTTAAGAACCTATCTAAATACTAAAGGTAGTGCTTAGATAAAAAGCATAAGATATATAGTGTGCTCTTTCCATTTCCTGGGAACAGTTGCTGTGCGTCACAGGTGATTTTGTCTTCTATGCAGTGCATGAACATTGTCTAGTTAATGAAAATGTAGATGCTATTTCCAAAGAAAACACACCCCAAAAAAAAACGGAAGAGGGGAATGGCCATGTATAGGAGTTTTCATTACATAATGCAACTCTCAACTCATACACTTATAAAGTCCCACCCCAAATCTGTGAAGTCCCATCATGTAGCAATAGGCAGAAAACTGAACTCCAGGACAAAGCTGGAGAATGCAACCAGCAAAAAGCAAACCTGACCTATTGGGAACCTGTTTCTTGGAGAGAGTAAACACAGCCACACTGGAACTTGGAAATAAGGATGCAACTTCACACCATACTGTAACACAATCTAAGAAAACTGCCACCTGAAGCACAAGGTATTCAACATCCACTGGATGTTGTCATTGGTGCCACTGCAAACCAGCAGACAATATCAGTATAACATTTGTGTATCCGTATAGCTTCCAGAAATGTTCCTCAGAAAAGCTCTGTGAGAACCAGGCAGGCACTGTGCCAATAGTTTGCCAGAAAATTCTGGTTTCACTGAATTGCTTTAATTCCTGGCATATGCCTGCTGATAATCTAAGTGATTCCCCACTGAGACTACTTTGTACAGCTCCTAGTGCTTCCGCCAGAAGGAAAACTCTCTTTTGGCACACGTGGTAGAGCTGCCTGCCTAGAGACTACAAGGGCCTTTAAATAGGCCCAGAGACCCCATGGGTCCCTGTTCAAGTCTCGGCTTTCTTCATGTGCAAGGCACAGAGATAATACATCTACTCCTGACCCAAGAGAAGCTCTCTGTTCTCAGCTAATGAGCTAGGAAGAAATGGAGGGCAAGAAAATGTCTTCAGTGGTAACCAGATGCTACTGGTACAAATGGCATTTAGCATTAGTACATTCTAAAATAGAAGAAATAATATAAGGCTATAGCTTTCCTTTTGGTTCTGAGGCTGTGTTATGTATATATAACTGTAACCATGATTTACATTTTTTCTAAATGACCCTTGATAACAATATATTGACCCTTATGAGCAAATACCATACAGCATTACTAAATACAGTTACTAATATATCTTAACTGTGAATATTATAGATTGATTGCATGCTGGTACTTTTGATTTTGAAGTTACTTGGTGCAGAAAAAGAGAAATAGAAGACTGGTAGTAAATTATCAAATGGTGATAAGGTACTTGAATAGCCCCATTTTTTAAACAGCTACATTTTATTATTGATAGTTTAAATCAACTGTGAGTATACTCTTTTGAAACAATTTTGCCTCCCTATGTAAAGTAAAAAGAAAGAAGCATATCTTGTAACATGGAGTTTGCTGTCTTACAGAGTAAATTTTTAGACTTTACTTTCTGTGGTAGGCTCTGATTCCAGTTCCTTACATGTATCACGTCCATGCAAAATTCTGTTCTTGTGGGGTTCTTGTTGGTTTGGTTTTTTTCCCTAAAGCTAGCAACTAAAGCTTGGAAACCAAAGAATTTTGCTACACCGCAACAATAGCTGCTGTCTTTTGTTTTGACAAAACTCTACCATGAAATTTTGGGAAAATACTTCATTTCACAACACATGAATAGAAATCCTGTTGGGAAGCAGCACATTTCAAATCAAGTCTTTTTCTGAGCCAATAAGACTTTGCTGGAGGAGGGGTTGAAATTTAATATCTGAGGTCAAAAGTCTTTTAAAGTGCTTTCTCTAGCAATAATTTAAGTACAACATACAGCCTTCAGGCACCCAATTATTTAGGAGTTGCTAAGTGCAGGCAGTCTGTTCAGACCCTTACCTGTTTATGGGAAAAAGAAAAAGCAGAGGAGGAATCAGATCTCTCTATTGCATTTATCAGAAAAGGAATGAACTTCATGCTTTTTCAGCTCTCCAGTCTCGTAGGCCATACTATAAGAAGCAGTGATTTTTGAGATATTTGATCTCTAGGAACTGAACATACCATCAGCCTATAGGATATAAAACTCTACTTAGACTTAGCTCATCGGTCACATTTATTAGTTTTCATCTGGTAACCTAGAAACCGCAGGCTGGTATTCCATGGGAAAATATAAACCTCTTGAATGTCTGTGCTTTTTAGCATGAAATACAACATTATATACAACTGTTTCTTCCCAAAAAGGAAGGAGGAAGGTGTTTCAATTAGTCTCTTTTTTAGTGTTCAATATGAGTGTATCTTAGCTCCTTTTTATACCTGCTGCAAAGGAATAAATGTGGCTTTTATCCACGTACAGAATAGAGTGGACCACGGAGAAAGTGTGAAAAGCTGCTGTTCGATTACAAAAACAGATCCAACAGCACTGGAAAGTTTCATTTTTCCATACATTGTCCAAATACTTGTGACTCTTTCCAAACCAACTCTTGTTATGCAACTTGTATATATTAGAATCTTACATTTTTCACCACAAATGGTTGGGGTGCCTGCCTATGTTTTGTAAGTAGAAGGTAATGATTGTGCCACACCATTGTAGTGACATAACTTGAAAATCAAAGGGTATAAGGTTGGATATATTAAATCTGTAGATATAAAGTCTTGCACTCCATAAAGGGTGGTATGTTTGTTCTTGATATTATAAATAAATGCTCTTCTTTTTTTTTATTTTAGATAAAAAGCTGTGCTATATTGGAAACAAGCATAGGCATACAGTGGAATGAAAGAAATGTCAAAGAATATTTACTAACCTGTTGTAACAAGAAGTTTGTCTCTGTGCCCTTACAGGACAGGAAATGGTGATAGGTGAGGGTGCTGTGTGTTCAGCAATTATTTAAATGCCATTATGCTTAGAAACCTAAATATGAGAATTCATAGGTGAACTGGTTCCATTGAAGACAATGAAGTTTCAATGGCAAAGATTCTTTTCTCATCTTTGCATGTGTATGCAGCGTGACAGATTTTTATGGATGTGGTTAAAAGATATGAAAGTAACTGATGTTTAAGTATGATTGATTATAATTAAAGCATTTTAAAATATCAATATTGTTATGAATATTGCAAGTTGTAATGGAGAAAATATTTCCTTTTTAACTAAATGCAAGCTCAGAATCTAATATGCTCTCTAAGATGAAGGAGTTAATCTTTTTAAATCTCACACTGAAAGTCCCAAAGAACAGATTTCATTGGGTATTTTTTCCTTCAGTACAGAAATCCTCATGAAGTTAAATAGACGTACCATGTTCCCTTACAATCCTGGGATTTTCAAGTGAATTTTATAGCAGACTTTTTCCTTTAACAATATTTGACATGAATTAAGTTAACCCCCATTTTTAATATAGGCTACACATTGCTTTCAAACTTTTTTTAAATTGTATGATAGCAGGACTGTAGTGGGCATAGAAAATAGCACAGAAATAATCAGCTGTCTTAGCAATTCCATACCCCTAACAAAAAAATAGATTGCAGTTAAACACTTATTCTTATTGCTGCTCCTATAGCTAAAACAGAATAAATGATGTAAAATAAAGCCATCCTTGTGGATGTTAATTGCTGCATTTCCTGAGTTTCCATAGATGACAGGCTGTGACAGGAGATGTTTATTTTCCCGTTCTGCTTCTTTTAAGTTATACTGATTTAAGGTGATTACAGGGAAAAACAGACAACTCAGAAAAAAAGTATTATGACTTCTTACCAAACTATGACACACGCTTACCTTTTATTTCTTTTTCCTTCTTTGAAGAACGTCATTATAGAAAGAGAAGTTTTTGAAACCTAATAAACAGGAAAAGAAAAGCATAGTAAGAAGCCAACAAAAAATAAAAAATTGATTCTGTAATCTTTAAAAAGATTAGGAGAATTTAGCAGACATTTAAGCACATAGCAATGGGTCATATTGAGTGCAAACCAGTTTCCTGGCGCATTCAGCTTCTTCTGACTTTATCAGGAGCTGGGAACAAGTTGCTCTAAATTGCTCTATAACAATGGACTCAGGAGTGCTGGGCTCATTTTCCCATAACCTGGTTGGAAGAACCAAGTACCACTCCAACTAACACACATTTTGCAATATAGATGCTTAAAAAGTAGTATTTTGCACAATACATCACAATTTTTATCACATAACTTTGTGGAACTTACTGCAGCCAGATATTGCTAAAAATACAATTTAAAATATTTCAGAGACGATCAAATTCTGGGTAATAAAAACAACATCTGTATTTATGATGCATAGAAATACCTAAGTAGGTGCTCAGCCTTTATGCTTCTAATTATGAAATGGTCTGACAGAGTCCTGTGGGAAAGTTTCTCCCTTCCTACCTTTGTTGGGTAAATTACAGAAATTTAAAAGAAAATAATAAATATCTGCTTCAGATAGTTTTATTTCAGAAAAAAAAATAGTATTAAAAGAGAGTCATTTTAATACATATAAATATTCCTAACATACATTTCTCTCTTCAATACACATAGAGACATCAATGGAAATGGAGAAAGGCATGGGGAGGGAAAAAAGGAAAGATACTGTTTATTTCTTTGACTATATCTTAGTATGATAAGCTATTGATCACTTAACTCATGTTATAAAACTTACTGGTTAATACTACAAATGGATTATTTAGTGTAACAATAATTAAACAAACTTTTAAGAAAGGTGTTAAATATTCTTTAGAATCACTGAGACACTTTTTTTCTAAAACTACAGAATTCTCCTTTTAAGTAAGCATAAAATTAGAAGAAGTATGTCAGCCACTGCTAGTAATTCATATTAGTTATCTAATTAGACTGGCTAACAATGTGGATAGTGTGGAAGTAATAAACATATTATTATTTTGAAACTTGCCTTAGATAACTTTGTGCATTTCCTTTGGTATTTCTAGCTTGAACATTATGTCCTAAGTTATATGTAGGGTTATATAAGTGCAAGACTATAACTATGATAAGGTAGATCTACAGCTTTATATCTCAAGCCTAATCAGGGTCAAGAAACGCATCAGAGCAGTGGCCCAGTCCTGTGGCATGGTGGCTGCCTGCTCCAGTAGCCTCTGAGCTCCCACAGGTGAGGCTTTCTTGATGATCCTGAGGCTCTCTTATTTTAAAGGAAATGTTGGCAAACTTATCAGCTGTTTGGCCCATAGTTATCCAGAGGCTCATCCTCTCCTCATCACTCTAAATGCATGTTACTTTTAGAAATTAACTGAAAAAACGAGTTATGGGCAAAAGCAGAAACAAGGACACACTCACTGGAGGACCGCCCTGCTGAGCCCTGCAGGCTCTTTTTACTCCTTAAAACATGAGTTGTTTCTGTACAGGAGCCCAGCTTGTACATGGAGAAAGCTGGAAAGGGCAGGGGAGAGGAGGTGTGTGTCTGACGTAGACCTGGAGGAGAAGTGGGTCAGGGTCTTCCATTTCCTGGCTGGTTTGGCAGGTGGGATGCTGGGTGAACTGACTGTGGTAGCAGAAATGGCCGGCATTTCGTCTGGCAGTGAAAAGTCTAGTCCGGCTTAGTGTTTTGAAGACCACTGTGGGTCTTCAGCCACAGGGTGGAATCCTTTGGACTGGATGTCAAAGGGACAGTGGCCACCCTGAGCCCACACATTCCTTGACACCATAACCTGGCAAGGCATGGAAATGGAGGCACAACTTGTGCTCTAGCCCAAAACAGTTCCCCAGGAATGTGTGAGTGTTGCAAATATCTTTGAATTGCCTTACAACACCTTAAATAATACTGTCTGAGAACTTGACGTATAGTTTCTACTCCTGGGGTCCACAGACTAACAAAGCATTTTTTCACCTATCCTGTAGACAGACAAAGGCAGTTTTGGAACTAGCCCTTAGTGTCAGACTTACAAAGCCATTTAGGGGATTAAGTCCTGTTGAGCATCTAGGTTTTAAAGAAAATAAGTTTTTCACTTCCACTGGGGAGTACTCACTGAGGCAGAGTTTCAGCTACTGTAAATAAATGTCATTGATTTGAACTTTCACACAGCTCAATAACAAAAGGTTTAGAGGAGCACGATGCAGATAAGATTTAAAAATAAATTTTAAAAAATCAGAGCCCTGCTTCCCAGATGTCTTCATGACTACAAATAAATCACCACTGCCCCTCAAAAAAAATAAAAGAAAAACATCACCAAACTAGAAATGAATTGGATAATGAGATCGGTCCTCTCAAATCTTTTCTTTTTCTGAAGCAAGGTTTCTTATTTGTATCTCTCAGGAGTAAGGTAGCATCCAGCTGTCATCAAAATAACAAATGCTGGTAGCACTTGTACTTTAACTATTCTGCCTGCTTTGTTGCGTTAGTCCTCAGTCCTCTCCTCTCGTCCCATTGTCCTATACTCCTGTGTCATGTTACTTCCTTGATTTTTTTTCCTCCCTCTTAACTATTTGGGCAAGTGGTACAGCATGAAATAGCACAGTAATTGTTCAACATAAAAATTTCCAAATTAGAGCTGATGAAGTTTACTCATAAGGAACTAAAAGTTACCAGAAAAAAAAGGCAAATCTATGGAAAATATTGAAAATAAACAGCAATAAACAAGTTTCTACTATTTTACACAGGAAAGTCTATTTACATAGTCCAAACTGTCACAATAAACAGGCTCTCTCTGGGTTTCATCTTGCCACATTCATAAAACATTTAAAGAGTTTTAAAGAGTTTTAGTTTCAAACTACAAGTTTTGAAGTTTCTCTTGTGTGTATCTTACTAGTTTTTAAGCAAATGAGAATATTGATAAGTTTCAGGTAGTTTTCTTTTGTTTTTCATTTATATCAGTCTCATGTTCAGCTGCTGTTCACTGATATTACCATGGTACAAAAATGAAGCTGTTGTTTCGAGTTTGGTTTTTTTCAAAAAAAAAGAAATATTGTTCTTATTATGTTATGTGTGATGTGATTTTCCCTGTGGATTATGCTGGTAGAAGTAATATGTCTGGAATTTGAATTAAAACAGATTAAATACCTGCAAAGATGTGCACTACAGATTTTTTTTTTCTTCCTCAAATCTCAAAAATAAGCGGTTATTTTGAAAGGTTAAAAGCACCAAGGGAGGCAAGAAATAAGGGCATTACCAGAAATAATCAAAACAATCTGGTATTCCAGGTACTTGACCTCAACCTCTCCCCCTTTTTTACCCTCAGTAAAGTAGGGATGTATTTTGACTGTCTCTACAAACAGTGAAACAATACCAACTTCTCGGCTCATGGATATTTCTGTACTTGGGTTCCAACTGAGAAATTCAATATAATCAAATTCATTACGTTATCATTTTGGCATTTTAATATAAATGTTATCATCAAAGAAACAACTCGATGCTACAGGGTCTTATTTGTAATGCTGTGCACAACTTAGAATTATTTGCTATAACATTTGATAACTCAGGAAATAAACCAACTTATTAATAGTACAGTTTCGTGTATCCTCATCAACTTCACATGCAGGCATTTATATAATCTGGAAATATTCAGTTAGTCACAGGAAAAAAAAATCCCTTGCAATGTATATGTGTCCTTGTTCAGGAGTACACAGAACCAAAATGAGGTGTTTTTAGTGGTATATGACATTGTGAACAGTTTAAGACTTCAGTGCTAAATTGAAGGACACTTTGGCTTAGGATTTTAGATTTTCAGCTGAAGTTACTATAGCCACACAGTGCTATTATCGCTCAAATAGTTCAGAGAAGCCTTGTGTCTTCGTTATTCTCGGAAGAACCCAGACTCCTTTTTTTTTTTTTCACGAGAAGAAAGCTCTCCATTGGAGAAGGCGACACAAAATGTGCTTTTCGCTGTCAGGCTGGTGATGCCCCTTCCTAGCAGTGGAAGGAGCTCCTAGCTCCTTCCTAGCTCCTTCCAAGTGAAACCAGGCAGTGATCAGTAGGCAGATTCATGATGTCTCCCCACCAACCCCTTTCTAAAAAAAAAACCCAAAACGTATTCAGCAACACTTTTACTAATGCTTCATGAGAAAAGGGGAATCAATCCTAGGTGGGCCAGGCACACAGTTTGTAGTATGCAGACATATATGATTATCAGCTGTCATGGTAACACCTTCATCTACTGGGACTTCGTTCTCAGTAATACAGCAGATTCGTAAAAGGCCAAAAGATGCGTAGGTCCTAATTCTCAGGTCTGCCTTCTAGTTCTGTTTCTTTAAGGATTTTTTCTGTCTGTTTGTTCAATTTCTGTGTGATTTCTTCTGTAGGTTTCAGCAGAATATATACATATGCACACATACAACTACAGATGTGTGTGTATTGTTTTGTAAATGTTCTCAATCATGCTTTTTTCTGCTTTGCATCATTTATTCACTTACCTTCCATGTTGTCATTTATTTTTTGTGCAACTAAACCTTATAATAAATTATTATTAAATATGACCTGACGGTAGCAGTCTTCATAGTTTTTTTTCTCCTGGGCATGAGGGGAGGGGTTGAGGGGGGTGGAGGGAGGAGAGCAGGGGCTACACTTCTGTTCCATTCCCAAGTAGAAAGTGCTGAAACAACCGCGGTGAGTGTAAAACCACACAGCTGTCAGATAGCAAGTTTCTGTTCATACTTTTAAATCTGGGTTCAAGGATCCCTGATATATTTGCTTTTGTCAGCTGAATAGTGCTGTTTGCCCAGCAGCAAAATAACACCTCCTGTGTGTAAAATCATGGAGATTTATTATTCTATAGAGTTCTCAATTTGAGATGCAAAAATCATGGACTAAGACAACATCAAGCACATTTTCTTTCTCACCCTGTCACACAGGCTTCTGAGACACATAGATTTCTCAGACCAAATAAACTTTATGTAAACCTATGCAGCTCCATTCTGCATGTCAGAGCTGTTACAAAATTCTCACTTGAGCGTACACCTACTGGATAAAAATGCTTAAATCGCAGAAGTACAGATAATCTTTAATTCTACATATGAATCAAAGGATACTTTAATGCCACAGGCTGTAATACAAGGCAGACACACCTGGCTGTCCAGCCAAAGCAGGCCAGGCAGTGCCCAGCACAGCCGCTTTGCTTCCATGTCTTGCTGGTACAAAGGAAATAAAGTCTAAGCTGCAAATATAAGGTCTGCGCTTTGGTTACCGCATTCTTAGGAAGGAATTTAATGGTCTTTTCTTAGATTTGTGTGACACATTTTTCCAGTTGACATAAATCTCCTCTGTCTGCCAGGGTGACAATTCTTCTCCTTTTCTTACCGTGTTCCATATGCCATGAAAATTGGATCTTTCATAACTGTTAGCAGGCTAGAAGAACATTAAAAAGCAGAAAAGAAAAATTGAAGGACTTTTCTCAAAACAGCTGCAACTTTGACAAAGGATAAAAATGACAAATTTTCCTCATATGCTGATTAATTATTAGGAAATATTCAACCATCAAACAAAATATCTTTTGTTTTCTTGTTTTCTATGAGTACATTTCAGGTTCAAGTCATATGAAGAAAGAAGTTGCACTTTGAATATGTTTCACAGCTGTGCTAATCAGGTGCCTGGTAAAGCACCAGTGGCGTGTCCCCTTCCCCTTGCGTACACACTGCAGATTCTGAAATAGTCTCCTACGTCAATCTTAAAACATGAGTAGTCCAAAGGCATCGACCCTTATGCATTAGTCATATCATTAAGACAACTTAATGTGGTGGTGCCTTTGTTAACAGGCATGGGAGGAAAGATGGTTTCTGAAGCAAATGGCTGGTCCCTAGCTTGTGGTCACCCTAGGAAGAGCTTCATTCTGGTACAAACTGACCCAAATGTCAGAATGAGAGAAATGGAAATAATAGGCAGTCAAAATGCTTTATAAGGACATATCTTATATGTTAGATCATATAGAAGTGGTATCTGAGAGGAGATATGTGGAAAGTCTCACATCCACTGTGAGAATTAGGTAATTTTCCTAAGCACAACATAACATCATACTTTGACTTGAGGTGTGAAGAGACGAGACAGAAGCCGTGAAGTTGGCGCCTATCTTTCCACTTCTAAACTTCAGGCCTTGAATAGGATTAAGGGTGGGAAAAAAGGCTCAGAGCTCCAAAATCATAGAATCATAGAATGGTTAGAGCTGGAAGGGACATTAAAAGTCTTCAAGTTTCAACCTCCCTGCCATGGGCAGGGACACCTCCCACCAGACCAGGTTGCTCAAAGCCCCATCTAGCCTGGCCTTGAACATTTCCAGGGATGGGACATCCACAACTTTCTGGGCAACCTGTTCCAGTGTCTCACCACCTTCACAGTAAAGGATTTCTTTCTACTATCTAATCTAAATCTCCTCTCTTTCAATTTAAAAAAAAAAATAATTTCAAAATAAAACTCTCCTCATCCTATCACTGCATTCCCTGACAAAGAGTCCCTTCTCATTTCTCCTGTAGGCCCCCTTCAGGTACTGGAAGACTGCTATAAGGTCTCCCCAGAGCCTTCTCTTCTCCAGGCTGAACAACCCCAACTCTCTCAGCCTGTCTTCATAGGGGAGGTGCTCCATCCCTCTGATTATTTTTGTGGCCCGTTGCTGAACCTGTTCCAACAGGTCCATGTCCTTCCTGTTTTGAGGACTCCAAAGCTGGACACAGTACTCCAGGTGGGGTCTCACGAGAGCAGAGTAGAGGCACAGAATCACTTCCCTTGACCTGCTGACAACACTTCTTTTGATGCGGCCCAGGATGCAGTTGGCTTTCTGGGCTGCTAGCACGCATTGCCAGCTCATGTCAAGCTTCTCATCTATAAGGCCTCCCAAGCCCTTCTCCTCAGGGCAGCTCTCCAGCCTTTCTCCACTCAACCTGTATTTGTGCCTGGGATTACCATGTCCCAGGTGCAGGACCCTGCACTTGGTTTGGCTGAACATCATGAGGTTTGCACAGGTCCACCTTTTAAGCCTGTCCAGTCCCTCTGGATGGCATCCCTTCCCTCCACTGTGTCAACTGTGCCACACAGCTTGGTGCCATTGGCACACTTGCTGATGGTGCACTCTATCTCACTGTCCATGTCACCAACAAAGATGTTAAACAGCACTGGTCCCAGTACTGACCCCTGAGGGACACCACTCGTCACTGGCTTCCACTTGGACATTGAGCCATTGACCACAACCCTTTGAGTGCAGCCATCCAGCCAGTCCCTTATCCACTAAGTTGTCCATCCATCGAATCCATGACTTTCCCATTTTGAGATGAGGATGTCATGTGGGACAGTGATTGTTACAATACAAAAAGAAAGGAGAAGCACAGAAACAGCTGTCCCAATGAATTATAGTGAAGCTGAACTAGAAGAAATAGATAAAGACAAAAGACATCACAGGATACAATTTTTTGCCTCAATTTTACAGGTAGTGACTTGAGGAAAAAAAGGTATTTACTATACGCAAATAGTAGAAAAGCTAGCAAACCCAAAGGCCTAATTTGTTAATAACATGGAACACTGTTGGGTTGCTAAATGTAGCTGTAAAACATGAAAGAATATTCTTCAAAAAATAGTGAATAGCGATAATCATACTTTAAAACATGCAATTTTTCCTGGCTTAATTTAAGATTAGCCTATAAGATTCAAGGGATATAAAAAGCAGATAAAGAAGAGAAAGATGCTAAGAAATATACAATACAAAATACAAGTAAACTCCAGCTGATCTTACCAGTATCTGAGTAGAGTAAAAAGCTTCTGATAAGGCCTCTGTGGTCCTCTTCCTCTTCTTTCTGATGACACACATTCAGTCAGAAACACAGTGCAGGAAACTGCATCATACGTGATAGTATAGTCCAAAATATGTAATTCCAACATACAAGAGAGATGCTGGTATTACTTACTTTCCCACTGAAACCAATAAATAAAATAAAAATCAAATTGGTCTTTCCTGACTTGCAAATTGTAACATACATGAGACTAGCAGTGTTTCATAAAACCTTGACACTAATAAGAAGGCCCTTTGATTCAGGCGCAAATAGAATAATATATTGCCAACAAGTTCCAGCAGTCTTATATTTTATGGTAGGGGAAGAAATATTTTTTCTGCTCACAATTTCTTTTCATTGGAAGTAGAGATTCTGGATAAGACCACTAGTGTATATTTAGCAACAAATAGAGAAAACTTAGATAATGATTTAAACTACTAGTTTGGCTCCAGCTATGAGCAAATTCGGAACATAAAATCAGAAGACAAAAAAATGCTACATGTAGAAAACCTCAAGTTGTCAGTTGTCCTTTTCCATGCACAAAATAGTTACAGCCTATGCTTAGGTTTATGCTTATGTTATTCCTGACAGATCACCCTTGGCATGAAGTTTCAGCTAATAGCACTGTAAACATTTAGCTGGCTAAGGAACTTGAGTAAGCCATTTGTTTTTCTAGTGTGAAAAAGAGGCAGGGAGGGGGGAAGAAAATGTCACTTTTTTTTCATAGGCTATAAAACTGGTTAGTTTTTTCAAGTTTAAAATTTTGGCAAGAAAAGTCAATTTTCATATCTACTTTTTATTTAGTTGGATCTGAAGAGGATAGTAGGATGAGCTGTTAACACCTTCATACTTACCTCTTCATTATATTAAACAAACTGGACTGTTACTCACTTTTTGCAATAAGCAGTGGTGATGCAGATCAGTAGGAAAACTAACAGTAAGACAACAGCAGAAATTCTTCCAGCTACGTAGATAATAAAGAATTTATGATCCCAAGTTGCTAAAATATAATTGTGATAAATATGGTTAGTAATCTGTATAAACCAACATGAACTTTTTATGACAAACTAAGTTGAAAATCAATTATTATGTAGGGACGTTATTCCATGACAGCTCATGCTCAATATCCAGACCTCACAACCATTTCCTCATTTCTGAAACGCCTTTGTTATGCTGAACTAGCTCCTATGAAAGTTGTGACTGGAATGATCAAAGGTGAGTGAACACAGCACGGTTATATGAAAAAAGCAGTGGTGCCTTGTACAATCCTTTCCTATCTCCTTCCCTCCCCTGGTGAGAAAGCAGTCCATACATAAGTGACTAGATACACGGATAATAAAAGCACTTAGACTGCTGAAGTGAATGTTCTTGTCTTTGTAAAGGTTGTCCAATAAGAGATACCTAACAAACATTCACTACTTCTGTGGGCAACAAGATATTTTTCAGAGTACCAGGAAGATCATGTCAGTCCTCAAGAGGTTTTCTATTCAGTACTGCACACATTTGTATCAGTTATTTTCTGCTTGAATTAAAAAAGAAATCTGTTCACATTTTGACCAAAATATTTCTACAAAAATTTCTCCCATTATGATGGCTATTTTTTTCATAAATGTCAGAATTTTTTTTCATTTATGTCAGAAAACTCACTCTATTTATTCTAGCCTAAGCAAAAATCCTTTCTGGGATATTTACAGTCAAGGCAGGAAAAGTTACATTTGTAGTAATTTTGCTTAAAATACTTTGACTTCTTCAATACTGAGTCACATCTCCAAATGACGCTAAGAAGCAACATGTGAAAATGAAAAATAGAGACAGGCAAAACAAAGGCTTCAAGGTATAAATCAATACATTCTTATGGTGCTTAAGTTTACAGAGAGGTAATGTGATATTATTCTCATTTTTAAGGTGAAAATAGCTGGAGAAAAAAAACAGAGATACTCAAAATCACACAGGAAACCCACAACACAAGGCCTCAGTACAATTATCTTGCATTTAAAACACTGAAGAGTTTTCTTCTTGCCACAATTCCGAACTTGGTTAGTGGTAGCATTACCAAAAAAAAAAAAGTGTTAAACCACAGAACTTCAAATCAGGTTTTTGCAGCCCACCACAATGCTCTGCTTCCTGTTTCTCTGTTGCATCTTTGCACTAGTGCTCTGCAGACTTCAGACTAAGAGCACAAAAAGCAAGCAAACACAAATAGCATGCAATGCCCATTTCTGTACATGGTGTATTTGTGGCTAACAGTATCAGCTACTACAGGAAACATCTTAGCCAGATGATCTTCTATCAGTCTCAGATGACCCTATATGTCAGCAATGTCTTGGGAAGGCAAGCAATGGGTGTGACTCTGCCCAGTTACCTACCAAAGAAGGTATGTTCTTTGCATGAGCATGCATATTTTACGCGTATTTCCTGCATGTTCTTCGGTTTCTCAACATATAGGAGTAAAACAAAACAAGAACTCCAAAAAAGTGAAGATGTTCTGGGACAGAAAAGGAGTAATGCAATACTACAAGAGATGGTGGTCATATCTTATGGTAACAAACTTGTTTCTTGTGTTTCAGAGAAACACTAGAAATTTATTGGTGGACAGGGACTAAAAATCTGTCTTTTAGTTAGTCCCTCTTTAATGTTTCGTTCACTGTACAGAGGAAGATGGCATCTGAAGATGAAACCACAGCTGCCCCAAAAAGCTCTCATTCTGGGCAGACAAGAAAGTTACATGCTCAATTCACAGATGAAGGAAAACTATCAGTATCACTAGCAACAGTAATCACAGCTAACCAGCTGTGGCTTAGATCACCAGGTGGCTTTTCTCTCCTGGATCAAAAAAGTTTCCAGCTTCTAATCTGGCTATCCTGAATACGGGTTGAGACTTGCTCAGGTACACCTCTTTAGTATTAATGTGCTCATTTGAAAGGATAAAAAAAAAATACTGATTACAGAAGAGTCTTATGCTTGAATTCTAATGTTATTTTACTGGAAAGAAAAAAGAAAGAAAATTCTCTCAGAAGTTGTGCTGCTGAAGGTATGTGACACAATAGAGACAGCTGCCTGATAACAAAAGCTGATCTCTTTTGTATAATAAACACATATGAAATCATTCTACTTCCAGCATGTCTTCAACTGATATGTACTTAAAGTGACAGGATGGTGCGTATAGCTATGTCCAAATTCAGGAAAAATTAGAATGTCTTTTTTTCCAAGTGTTTAGCTACCCGCCACAGAAAATCATTATCTGTCAGTGAGTAATTGTGGAAATAAGGGGAAAACACCCTGTAAGCAACAAAGAAAAAAAATTAAAATCTTTCATTTAATTATCATCAAGGATGACTGAATCTGGATAGAGTTCCAGACTTCAGCAGCATCCCCACCCTTCAGTCTGAGCGCTCCAGACCTCATTTTTCTTTTCCTGAAGTTTCACCTTCAGTTTTATCAGGTCAAGATAATAATCTCTGAGTTAATGAGTTTGAGATCTGAGATTATCAGCTGTCGGTTAAATTTGGATGAGAAAAATCATTAGATTTTTTTTAGAACTGACAACAGCTCAAAGCCCTTTTGCCTTTTCTCATTTGAAGTGAGCAAAGCTTTCCTGAGACATTTGTTTTCTTTAATTATACAAAAGTTAGTAATTACTAACTTCAACATAACATTCAAGATTTTGCAGAAACATGTCAGAGGCTTGTCATGTGTCTCTTTAGTTCTTGTGTTCTCGTCAAAGGTGATATGCTGACGGGAGGCTATTAAATATATTTTTAGCATCAGTACAATTTCTGTTAAGTATTAGACAATGTGTCCCTCTCTCTTCCATTGTCATACCCTTGGCATTTTCTTAGCAAGACTGTTAATCTTTTTCATGGGAAGGGAAGGTTTTGACCCTCAGTGCTCTGACTTTGGTTTTGAGAAGAAAGCACTGATGGGCCAGACAGTTATTTCTTTTAACAAGAGATTTGAACTGCACTGGAAAGATCTTCATGTAACTTGTCACATGCCTTGCTGGACTGGCACATTTGGTATGCTAATTAGACAACACTGAAATAGTTTTGCCCAAAACTGAAAGGCAGAAATCCAACATGAATGCATTCATGCCCAGATAAAGGTGGTTTCTTGAATAGAGACCAACAGACATGGACTGATATTTTGTGTTCATATTGGATGAATTCCCAAAGCTAATTTCACTCTTACCCTGATTCTCCTCACCCCTGACTGCAGCCTTATTTTCTGTCTGTTTTGTATGACACAGAAACACTGCTGGCTCATCCCAGGTCAGAAGGACTTTATGATAACCCTCAATGACTGGAAAAGTCATTGCTTTTCTGTGAAGATCATACTGAGTGCTATTGAAAGACATTAAAAGGACAATTAAAGGCACAGTCGGCATGGATTCACAAAGGGAAAGTCCTGTCTAATTTGATATCCTTTTATGATAAGGTCACCTGCATAGTAGAAGAAGGGAACAAATGTCAGATTCTGTAGCTGGGATGGAGTAACGTGGGGCACAAGTGTAAACTGGGAGCGGAGTGGCTGGAGAGCAGCCCTGCAGGAGGGGATCTGGAGGTGCTGGTCAGCACCAGGTTCATCATGAGTCACAGTGTGCTCTGGCAGCCATGAGGGCAAACCACATCCTGGGGTGCATCAAATACATAACCAGCATAACCAGCTGGTGCAACCTCACTTTGAGCGCTGTGTGCAGTTCTGGACCCCACAACTTAAGAATTATATTAAGGCACTTTAATGAATCCAAAGGAGGACAACAAAGCTGGTGAAAGGGCTGGTATAAACCATAATGTGATTCTGACCCCTACACTTACTTTAAATACAACCATTAGTTTTTCAGATCTAATGGGAACACACGGCAAGACAAAATGTTTATATTTTTCCTTGTCTAAGAGGGCTTGCTATCGTGCTTTTTGCTACAGCAAGAAAATAACTTAGTAAATCTTTCTAAAAGTGGCTAGGACTAAGCATTTCTTTGTCAACCCTTCTAATTTTTCAGTTCTTTCATATGACATCTTCCTTTCTTTCCCAATCACCTACCAAAATAATGCATGGATTTTAAGACTGCTTTCTTCCTTCAAAAACATGTTAAAAATGAAATCTGACCTAAAGAAAAAGCATGGCTTTTGTCATTAATGTGTTTAGATATGGAGTCTGGTTACATTACCAATCTCTATACTAATAGAACTTTTGGAAGGAGAAGTATGGTGGTGAACACATCAGAAATTAATCCAAAGTCTCTTGAACACATTATGTAATATTCAGGCTCCTGTTGTCCAACAAAAGCTGCACTTTACATACACATCTTGCTTTATGCATTCCAGGTTTTGAGGTCAAAAAACATTTGCCGAGGACTCATTTCAGATTACTGAAAAAACACAATCACAATATTTAGTGGGATAGAATAGACAAACTTAATGATATCGAATGGATCTCATGGTTTTGTTCGCACTGATGTTCAAAAACATTCAATTCAGCATGCCAACTTCTACTTATACAAATTCAAGAATATCACAGGCTTTTCCAACACTTGAATACCTATTTCCCCCTCTCTTCATTTTTATTTCATAGCAATTCTATTCTGAATCTCCTGGCAAAAACACATTCACCTTTAGACAAGAAGCAAGTTGTTTCTTTCTGCTGTAGCACCTCTTTGAATGAGTAGTTTTGGAACTACTATCAGTTCTGCAAATAATCCTGTGCTCTTATTTCCACCTCCTTTCACCCAGGATTCCTCCACTTTAAAAATCCTTGGCATCTTCTCAATGACAGCTTCTCAAAACAAAACACAACAAAACAAAACAAAACAAAAGTTTCTTATCATTCCTCTTACTCTCGTTCAACATAAACAGTTTTCCCTCTTATGGTTTACAGTGCAGCTATTCTCCTAGCTCCTAGACTCAGTATTTCAAAACATCTCTGGAACTGGGCAAGGTGAGAAGATTTGCAGTAACCATGCAGAATCACACCAACAGAGTAAAAACATTGGAAGAGTTTGGTAGAATATCCAAGCTAAAGTGTGGCTTAGCTGCAATGCTGAGCCGAAGAAAATAAAGGGACTGAACTGACAGAACATACACAAAAAAATAGCACAGCAAGTTTCTGTCACCACTTGTTTTATCCAAGCCACAGCTGTTGCATCAAGCAGAGTAAGTCACTCGTGAGTTTATGAGAGACTTAACTGGCTATACCACAGGGAGAAGTGGGAGCTGATGCCTGGCCAGTCACTCCTTTCCCCTTAGTGTTTCTCCATATCTCACTGGAAATATTAATTGCATATTATGAAACTGTTCCAAACATTAAAGAGAAATAACTGGAAATCCTTGACACTTCACTTCCTTTGGAATTAATGAAAATTCAACAAAATGCACTTCATAAGTGAGGGTTTAAAAGGGAGACAATGGGGTATTTTTTGAATCATACTGTATTTCAGCTTCTTCAATGGTTTCAGACCTTTTTTTCTCCAAGAAACATGCATAACTATGCTGGCTTTGTTAGCACTAAAAATGATTAATAGGATTTATTCCAGGAGTAAAAGAAGCATGGAAACTAAACTTTTTTTTTTTCAGAAGAAATAGTTTGTGTAGGTAGAACTGACAATTTTTAAAGTTGTGGGGTTTTTTGGAACTCATTATATGCTTTCATTTTGGTATGAGAAACACCACGCTTGAAGTAAACAGAAAATATTTCTATTGCTCTACAATTTATATATTCTTGATTACATGAACACAGACAACATTTTGAAATCTGGAAGTTTGAAATTATCAGAGGTGAGAGGAATTTCTCTTCTGATACCCCTTTTCTTTTCATCACATTCTACTCAATTTCATGGACTTTTATGGTCAAGTATTCAGAGTAAAGAAGGTCAGCATTTTTTTTTCCCAAGCACATTCTGCACTTCTCAATAACGATATCATAGATCATGCATATTCTGAAGTTTCATACTCCATGCCATAGCTCAGTACTGCCAAAGAGAGGTCTACTAACATTGGAACAGGTTTCCCAGGGAGGTGGTTGAGGTCCCTTCCCTGGAGATATTCAAGGTGAGGCTGGACGAGGCCCTGGGCAACCTGGTCTAGTTGGGGGTGTCCCTGCTGACTGTGGGGAGGCTGGACTAGATGACCTTTGGAGGTCCCTTCTGGCCTGGACCATTCTATGATTCTATGATTTATTACCAGGAAGAAAAGCAGTACCCTCAAAAGATACCAGAGAGCTGGACTGAGTGCTGCAATAGGAGAAGAAGGACTGGGGTGGTACAAGAACCACATCTTCAAAATGCATGTTATGGTGAAGAACCAAAACTGAGGGGTTTTTTCTGTCATAACAGAAAATAGAAGTAAAGGTGGGATTCAGCTCACAGTTTGAAAAATCTTGTTTTAAGTGTCTCCATATAGAGACCTGAGTTCCCATTATAATCAAACAGCTAAACCTAGAGAGCTTCTCAGCTCACCATAAAGAAACTCCTTCCATGAATAAGGTAGAGGCCATTTTATGAATTTTTATAATTTCATATGAGAGTGTGCTCTTTGCCTTTGTTGGAAATAGGTCTCTCGCCCAGGACCCTGCAGTGCACTCTGCGAATGGGGAATTCCCTTCATGGCTTCTTTGGGAGAACACCCTCCTCTCCCTGCAAACTCAAGCAATCTCTCTTCATCCAAATTATCTCCTTCCTAACATCAAACCAGTTTCTCACAAACAGCTCTAAAGTCCTATAATGAAATCAGACAACCTTTAAACCATCTTCTTTCTGTGGAGACAAGATAAATTGTTAAATTTGCTGTCTTTTACGTGCTGCTAATTGAAATGTGGTATTTTAAATAAATCCCCACTTGTTATTGAAGAGTTATTTTACATGGGTAAAAGTGTTAATAGCTCAGATGGCCCCGCTGTAAAAACATTTACTGCTTCCTCTTCTACTTACCAGGTTTTGTTTCTTCCAGTAGCTATGCAACGGTACATTGCAAAGTCAGAGTCAGTAATGTTTTGAATGATGATAATGGAGTTCTCCTGATCAGAACAATCCACCAGCGTGCGCTCTTTGAAATCTGAACCAAAACTTTGCCTTCCTGATGAGTGGCACAGAACAGCAGTACCTACCTGACCTGCTTTAATCCTTTCCCACAACACTTGCTGCACTGAATCTCCAATTTTATAAGGGCAAGTAAAAGCGACATTTCCTCCTGGCTTGGTAAACATGATTATGTTGTTTCTCATATACTTCAAAAGCATCTGTGGAAAAAACACAAAGAAACAACAGAAACTTGCTTATAATTAATTCAAGTGAATTTTAGTATCAACAATTCCTGTATGGTAAATATTAATGAAATTGACTTACAGCGGAAAGATACATCATTTGAACTATTGAAAAATACCATTTATACTAATCTATGACTGTATTTTTGTGCACATTTACACAAAACTGTCTCTATGGAACTGGGAGGCTGTGATGACATTTCAAGGCTATTTCTATACATTTTGAGTACATGAACGCTTTATTAACAGTTTGAGCAAATATTCAACAGCATAAATTATTGAATTCATTATAGTCTTGTTCTACTTTCACACTAATTATAATAATAAAATGGTTTGGTGTGACCCTCAGGCCATGCATAAGTAAATTAATGTTAAAAGACATTCCAGCCCATGAACTACATTTCTCCCATTCACAAACTTCATCACTTAAATAAAAAAAATAATTTTTCCTTCATCCACTGTCCTTGGGAAAAACCTGTGTGATGGTCAGGCTGTGGTAGTAAAGGAGACTTCCAGAAAAATTCAAAACTTCCACCACATATAAACCATAGATATAATACATCTTAAATATTTTTGACTGAAATCCCTGTGCTCCGAGTTCTTTTTAGTAATAGAATTCACTGTTTATAAATAAAAAAAAAATAATTTAAATCTTCAGTAGAAGGACTGCCAGTGTTTCTGATATTCAGAGCATTCAATAACCTCTTGGTTTCTAAGGTCAGCTTTGTAATGCCTATATATGCCATAAGCTAGGGTTAGCACTGTCACCTTTTTGAAAACTTTAAAGTTAAAAAAGATGAATGATCACACTGCTTTTCCTGTACTGTAAAAGGACTGATCTTTCAAGCTCTTCAATGAGTTCCTTTTTTTTATTAGATGTCTTTAAAAAATGTCATTACTATATATTTTTACGTGTTTGTCGCTATCTACCGTGAAAATGGGAAGCAGGGACAAATTATCTTGGAAAAATGACAGTCATTAAATGCAACAAAATCTGTTTATAAAAAAAAGTTTTAAAATGAAGATGTAGCTGGATTTGTGGGATGGGATGGTTACAGCAACACTCTGGGTGGGACTGAGTACACTGTAGGAAAAATATATATTTAGATCCTCCTTGATATAACATTTTTATCAAAAATCTATGGCAAAAATTCCTGGTAAGCTGTATTGCTTTGGGTGTTGGTAGTGCCAGGCTGTCAAAGTCATAGGTACTGGAGAAATCAATATGGATTGTCCTCGCTCATCTCCTAAGCTCGGTGCAAATAGGATTTCATGCGGATAAGCATACTACTCTGAATCTGGGAATAAGTGATTCCATTCACATCAGGATGGAGAATTCATTGTGGAAGTCTGTAACTTCTGAGACTTGCACAGTCTCTGTGAAACAGTGAATAAGAAGTCTAGCCTGTAATTTTTTATCAATGGAACGCAGCACAGAAAAATTACATTCCCTCTGCCTTTGGAGACCAGAAGTATGATTAAAACATTGAAATGCTGAAAGACAAAAGGAACCGTGTCTAATGAGTTTACCTAAAAAAAATTAATGAAGAACTTGAAGATCCATGTAGACTGCAATCAAGAAGACAGAAAGTTAATGATAGACAAGGACAGAAGAGAGATAAATTCACTAACCCAAACAGAAGGTACAACACAGTGAAGCTAATTAACTCCTTGGACAGCTTTACAAAGACAGTTGAATTTCTATTACTGAAGACAGCTGCCAAGGCTGGATAATCATTTAAGATATCATGCTAGTTCCAGCAAGAATATACTCATGGAAGTCTAAGCATTATTTAAATCAGACTACTATGATGGGACTCTACACTTGCAAAATATGTTCCTTGAAGTTCAGTCCCTCAATAGAAAAGCTAATTTTTTTTTTCGTATCAGCTAGGGAAGAGGGGTAAATGAAAACGTTATTGAAACTAATTTTCTCTCTTGTCCATCATATTCTAACAGGTCAGATCTTTACCTCCTACCCCCCTTTCCAGACCACTAACTTCCAGCAAATATCCTTCCCTGAGAATTCTTGTCTTCACTGTGCAGTCTTTGCTGTCTTTTTCAGCTATGAGCAAACCCTACTGCTACCCATACTCTCCTTCAGAGCCTTCAAGTCTCCCCATCTGCTCCTGGGTCCATCCTTGCTCTCCTATTCGCTTCATACCAACGGTGCCATGAAGTCCAGGTGTTTCTCCTATCCAAAAATGCTTTTGGGGAAATTACATGTATGATGATGATACCTCCCAGCTTCTAGAAGATTCCCACCTGACCCAAACGGCAGCAACCTGCCCTTGTCTAAAAATCAGCCTTCTTCCCTGCTGCCCTCCTGCACATTTGCTAGAAAAATATACATTATACATATAGTGAACTGACAACAAGAAGCTAAAACATTTTCCACCAAAATCAAGAGAATCCTTTCTGTCTTAAAATTTATTAGTTAAGTTTGTATGTTCTATTTTACAAACAATGTATCACAATTTCCCAATAATATATAATATTACAACATACTATAGTATACTGTAAAAGGTACATTACAAAGCAAAGATTACCTTGCAACTTCAGTGAAGAATTTCCAGGTATAAATCTTGGCATATTTGTGAAATTTTCTGGTATACAAATAATAAATAATATGGTACTAGTGAGAATTATGTAAAAGGGCCAAATTAAGAAAGAAAAAGGTTTGAGATTCTTGGCTATTGTGCGTTCTATCATAAACATTTTCAAACACAGACATTGTGACACTTTTTTTTTTTTGTATTGCATGTATATTTTACTTGACAGAATGCAACAACTTTCAGGTATTTTCACTCTTGATGAAAGATGTAAATCGCTCTCTTTCTTGCAGTATGATACCTTGCAGAAATTAAATGATTATGTAAGGCACATACAGTGTAGAATCAGGCCTACGTAGTTCTAATTAAATCTTCCAAGTACACCGCAGTGTTCCAGGCCTTTGTTTTAAGAAATTGTCCCATTTCATTTTGACACCAGCATCAGCATAGTTCTTTCCTCCTCCCTCTCCTCTGTTCAACCACTTTCTTTATTTAGCACCTTTCTGAACACAGTTTCTTTGCTTTCAGCCTGGTACGCGTAGGATGAGAACCTCCCGCCTTGAGAAATACTTCTACAGGAAAAAGGCACACGGCACACCCACATATGTTCACCCCACACACGCACAACCCAAGGTGACACACCATGTGTGAACATTTCAGAAATGCTAAAAAAAAAAAAGTATCATTGCATTTGATAAAAATAGACTTCCTCTGCCTCTGCTCATTCTGGTCACTGCCACTCCTGCCTGCTCTGCCCCCTGTCATGGCCGTGTCATCTTGCCTCCTGGACAGAAATTGGTAGGAGGTGACAGCACTCACAGTAGGTGCACTTGGCTCTGCTTGAAAAATAAGTGCTGTGGATTTGATATCCTCCCCACATCACTTTTGGCATAAAGTTATCTCATCATATTTTGCAATTACACTTTTTTTCCCATCAACTTTAGGACCATGAGACATATAAAGGAGAAAAAAAAAAGTAAGCTTTCCTATTTTAAAAAACATAATCTTTCTATATTTTTCTTGTAAAGCAAATCTCAGAAATATAGAGCTATAAAAGAGAGTAAACCAACTTCCCAGTGTTTAAAGGACCATGAAACTAAAATGAAACTGTTGAAATTAAGAAATAAAATAAAATAATGGTGTAATCTTCCCCCCTATACCCTAGTTCCTTTGCTACAAGCAAGTAAGTAAAAATCAACATCATGTAAAAGTTTGGTCCCCATTCTTCTGGGTAGAGACTTCATACATTCTGTCTCCTGTCATTCTTTCAGTCTCAATAGGATTAGCTGGTTTTGTTTCTTCAAAGGGAAGGTGCATAAATAGCTGGACTTGTTTTCAGACAGTATATTAATTTTTAAAGTCAGTATATGTGACATTTTAATTACTCTGGCATCCCAACATGCATTTTCCATGTGCTCCCAGGTACGAACAGGTCAGGACAAGCTCATACTGCTCAGACTGACAGTAACATAGTTACCTTCAACTTAGCTACCCTTAGGAAGTAATGCTCTCCATCAGAACTAACTAATGACCTTAGGATATTTTTCAGAACTGCAAAGCTAACTTAGCTCCACAGCAGAGACAAGTTCCCTAGTCCCACTTGATTTGCTGAAGGTCCACATAAAAACACAATCTTCTTCCTCTGCTTATAATAAGAAGTGAGAAGATAAATTGCATATGAAAAGGAAGCTTAAATTTTTATGAAGATGAGTGTTCTCCAGGGCTTTTCTTTGCACCAAGAAAACCAACTTTCAGATGAGAAAATACTTCAAGACTAACCCTTTCAACCTTCTTGAATATACTAAATATGGATTACATTTAGCTCCCAAACTGATGTCTTCCAAGTGTATTAACAAATACCATGCCATTTTGTTGAGTTTCTAAAAAATATTTTTGCCCATTTTTGGATGAGGCAGGAAAATATAGATATATAGTTATTAAAAGCATGGAACAATAAAGATCTTAATTTCTAATGAGCTACTGACACCAGTTCTATAATCAGACTCAGAAACCAACAGTAGTGTGGTGTTTGAAAGGGATGTATTTTTCTAATTGCAGCTATTTGGGTCATAAATGTTAAAATGAAAGTATTTATACTCCTTTACACTTAAAACATCCTTTTAATAGATATTAAGTTATATTGTGACAATTTGGTGAATCTTGCTGTACCAATTACTAATTTTGCATGATGTTATAAATACTGCATGCAATTTTAATTCACCTGCCACCTTCTGTTTCTTTACCCATATTCCACTCTTCTTTGCTGTTATTTTACTCTTTTAAACTAAACTTTAATTATCTAGAGTGCAAAAAAAGGAGAATCCAAAGAGAGGTAGAGAGAAAGTACGGTGCTAGTAAGAATGAGAAAATCATCCTCTCTACAGGTAGAAACATTTATAAACTCCCAGCAAGGAGAATTTGGTTGTTGGGGAAGAAGTCATCAGATAAAAGCATAAAAACAGGATTCATCTGCAGGAGAGTCTTGAAGATATAAGAGTTCAAAATCTCAAATTTTCATTCTCTCTAGGAATTTCATTACTTCAGGATGAAGGGAATTAACCAGCAATAGGAGTTCAATGAGCAGAGAGGTGGAGTGACACAGGACACTGTGCTCAGGCTTCAGTTTTGGCAATGATTTGACAGTGGATGAAGAGAAATGTTATACTGAGAAAGCACGTCACAGTACACATGCACATGTGCATTTGTGCCTACCTGCTCATATCTTCCACGAGGCTCCTGAGGGTCAGACTTCAGGCAGAGCAGAGGTTATCATGTTTTAATCCACAGAGAAGAAAAAAGGGAAGGGTGAGGGGAAGGGAAAGGGTGTGAAAAATGAAACTGTCTCCTAAGGAATGAAACTGTCTCCTAAGGACAAGTATTTGACTCAGTGTTTCCCAGGAGGAAAAGCCAAGGGTCCCAAGGCAATGGACAGTGTACATACCAGTGCTGCCCAGCCACAGAAGCATTATAACACCCATGAGGAGACTCTATGGGGTATTGCTGTCCTGCATCTCAGATCCTAGTTATTATTTTTAATGGATTGTTTTGCTGACTGAAAATATATTGAAGAAGAAGGAAATAGACAGTTTATTTCTTAGTAAGTTTGTTATGCAGCTTGATACCAGGTAAGAAAATGAAAGAAATCAATATAACATCAGTACTTTTTACTGAATGTTTCTTTTCCATTTCTTTTTGTCCTTATTAAGTTATAAATTATTTCCCTGTCTGACAGGCCAGTTGAAAGAAAGGTTCATCATTAGAAATATAAGCAGCAGAAGAAGT